GTTGTTGTTGTTGTTTTGAGTTGGAGTCTCACTCTGTCACCCAGGCTGGAGTGCAGTGGCACACTCACAGCCACCCCAGTGTTGACCTGCTGGGCTTCGGCGATCCTTCTGCCTCAGCCTTCCAAGTAGCTGGAATTACAGGTGCACACTACCACACCCGGCTAATTTTTGTTTTATTGTAGAGACGAGTTCTCACCAAGTTGCCCAGACTGGTCTTGGATCCATGGGCTCAGAGAATCCACTCACCTAAGCCTCCCAAAAGTGTTGGGATTACAGGCTGAGCCCCTGAGCTGGCCAATTTTTTAAATTTTTTGGTACAGTCAGGGTCTCACAATACTCTCAGGCTGGTCTCAAACTCCTACACTAAAGTGATCCTCCCAAAGTGCTGGAATTACAGGTGTTAGCCACCATGCCTGACCTCTAATATTCTGTTGTTCTATGATTTTATAGTATCCAGGGATTGAGAAAGACAGAAGTAATGTCATTCTCCATAGACAAAATGTCTAAGAGATGCTGTGACCTTGAGGTAATGCTGAATCTTGCCACACTTGGCCTTTGAGAGTTCAACTTCCTCTGAGAGAAGTTGTTTAGAAAATCTAGTTGCCTCTGCCCTTGAATAACAGATGTGATACTAGAAAACAGTAAGCGAGTCACACCACACCCAGTCACACTTGTGGTGCAGCAGTGAGGAGGAGTAAAGTACACTTGACACAGGGCCCCTCGCAGTAAGCCCCTTCCCAGAACAAAGTTACTTCCTAATTGTGTTGAATACGACTCCATTTTCACATCAGGTCTTAAGAGTCCTGGAAGGGTTTAAGACCCTGCCTCTGAAATAAAATAGCACTCAACTCTGTGAAAGGGCTACTATGAAGCCACAGATAGCACAGCACTGCTTCATATAGTGGGGTCAGGGGAGGCAAGAAAGCGAGAACCTGTCATTTTAACATTTGTAAATGTGGACACATTTTTGGGTAGAAATCCAAGTCCACATAACTTTTGTAAGACAGAATCCAGCACTCTGCAGGAACCTGGCTTATGGTTAGCCAGTGGCTATCCTCACACCTCCAAGGCTACCTATGCGCTTTCCTCTGCCATTAAAGCCCAAGCCCAGAGTCCAGGCACCTGAGGGGACAGTACACTGCCACCAGAAAGAAGACAAACAATGGAAGCCTCCACACTCTAGAATACTTCTCAGGGACTGGACAGAAAATGAGGCTGATGTAAGGAGCCTATATTATTGAGGAGGTGGACTCCAAGGGAGTAGCAAGAGGATGTCTTGGGGGTGATGGAAGTGTCCTGTATATTGTATAATCAGAGTACTGCACACTAAAATCACACTAAGATGCCACTCCATATGCAAGCGTTCATCTGATAATCACTAGCATTGTTGAGGATGATGGGCATCCAGAACTCATACCCCGCTGGAAGACACTTCAAGCCACACAGCCCCTTCAGAAAACAATTTGTCCTCATCTTGTGCAGTTGAAGCTGTACATACCTTAGGACCTAATGGTGCCAAACAAGAAGCTTGCACATCCATGTTCTCCCGGAGCCAAGTACAAGACCATGCACAGCAGAATGTGGAAACAATCCACAGTGTCAGAACAGAACACCATGGACTACTTGGAACAGTAATAATGAATGCATCACAGCTACAGGCACCTGTGTATAAATCTCATGAACAAACTGCAGCAGAGGAATTCCATTCATAGAAAAGCAAAATACTATGTGAAATTAACCATGCTTTGAGATGTATACATATATGGTAAAACTACACACAAAAGCAAAAAACAATAAATACCAGCTTAAGGAAGATTGTTATCTCCGGGGAAGGGGAACACAAGGAGCTTCTAAAGATATGGGTGCTACTCTATTTTGTACAATCAGTTGGGGTACATGGTTGTTAGTGTGATTGCTGTTCTTTATACTTTGGGCATAAGTAATAATTATTCTTATTATGAGTTCCATTCTTAATTTCTATAAACTTGAAAATTGTTTTAATTTCAATTTGATTCAACAAGGGTATATTAAGTACTAGATATCATAGAGCTATTGGAAATGCAAAACTGAGAGAAGCATCACCCTTTTTATCAACGAAAAGGCACTGACAAGGACAGGGGACCAAGGAAGGGGATGGTACCTTGATCTTGGCACCCAGCAACTCAGCGGCATCCTTCTCCCGCTGCAGGTCTTCCATTTTTTTCTCCTTCTCCTTCAGCAGCTTCATCTTCTCCTCTGCAACCAAGCTGTGGTCCTCTACAATAGCCCGCTTCTCAATCTCCAGTTTTTCTTGCTGCTCCCGCCAGTAATCATCCTTATCATCCCCTTCCTCCTCACCCTCTTCTCCCTCCTCCTCCTCCTCCTCTTCCCCACCCCCACCACTGCTACCACCTTCCCTCCGCTTCTCTCGTCTCTTCCTCCTGCCAATGGACCGTTTTTCCAGCTGGGCCTTGAGCCGAGCAATCTCTTCCTGGAACTCTCGAAGGAGGGCATCCTTAGGGTCCTCATTGACCCTCGGTTTGTTCTTAATGTTTTTGGCACGGTTGGCATATCGCAGAGTGGTCAGAGTCTCTTCTACATTATAAGAGGCAGGCCCCACATTGGCTACCATCACAGTTTTAGCATTGCCACCGAGGGAATCTTGGAGGAGCCTGGTAAGCTTTGAGTCCCGATATGGAATGTGAGTGCTTTTGCCATCCACTAGGGCAGAGATGACATTACCCAAGGCTGAAAGAGAAAGGTTGATCTTGGTGGCCTCCTTCAATCTTTCCCCTTGTGCACCAGTCTTGGCTTGCCGTTCGCTGCCAGCAAGATCCACAAGGTTCAGTTTCCCTACCCGGATATGGTTTTCTCCATCCAGGCCCACCTCACTGCACTCGATAGTGATCACAAAAATCGCATGGGAACGTGAGCTGTGCTCATTCATGTTGGTTGCACCAACAGAACGGTTCTGGTTTCCTACATTCATCACATGTTCTATCTCCTTCACGCTCTTGGTGACAAAGGAAGACAAGTCCTTCACATACACTCCTGTGTCGGGCCTCTCTTTGAGCTCCAGCCGTTTGGTCTGATCCTTTGAAAGCAGATCTCGGATCTCCTCCTGGTAGATCTCCAAGTAAGAAGCCCTGACCAGATACTGTTGATTCTGGGACCGAGAGATGTGGGTGAAGATGTGGTCAAATGAGTTAGGAATGACTCCTCGTTTTTCAGGGTCACCACGGATTCCTTCCATTGTATAGGTTTTCCCAGTGCCAGTCTGTCCATAGGCAAAAATAGTTCCGTTGAAACCTTGCAGGACGGAGTCCACAAGCGGTCGGAACGTCTCATCATAGAGTTCAAACTGCTTGGCATTCCAGTCATAGACTGCATCAAAGGTGAAGGTCTTGGGCATTTCATGGGCTGTTCCTTTGGGGTTCTTCACAGATACCTGTCCCAGCTTTACGTCCACATCTACCACCTTGACATACGAAGCAGCCTTTTCCTTGCCATTCATGGGCCGACAGCGAACCACCACCCTGACTGACTCTGAACTTTTCAACTTGGACATGATGAACTCTAAACTCTGGGTCAATCTTGAGTGCTGCGAATCCAAAATGTCTCAGGATTCTAAGGTCCTAGGAAAAAAGCAAAAGTACCGTACTTATCAGGGGCTGCTTGAAAGGAGCTGACACACCCAAATCATTTTCGTTTTGCTAACCTTCTGATAGTCATATTTGGTAACTTTACTACAATGTATTTCCTCACAGGATCTTAACCAGCTTCAGTGGTAAAAAGAAAAAAACGCCAGTCCACCAGTACTATTGACTAGCCTATCCTCCCCTCAATCACATATTTGATCTTATCCTCCAGGCTGAGGAAGCTAGAATCCTCTTAAAAGCCTAGCTGAAGACAGGAGCGATGGCTCACGCCTGTAATCCCAGCACTTTGGGAGGCTGAGGTGAGAGGACTGCCCGAGCTCGCGAGTTTGAGACCAATTGGACAACTTGGCAAGACCTCACCTCTACAATAAATCAAAAAATTAGTTGGGTGTGGTGGCTCACGCCTGTAGTTCCAGCTACTTGGAAGGCTGAGGTAGAAGGGTCACCGAAGCCCAGCAGGTCAAGGATGTGGTGGCCGTGAGCGTGCCACTGCCCTCCAGCCTAGGCAATAGAATGAGACTCCAACTCAAAAAAAAAAAAAAAAAAAAAAAAAAGCCTAGCTGATTTGATATCCTGTTGAAGTACTACAACCTCTCTCTGGACACAGCAATTTGAAATTTATACATTGAAGTTTATAATGCACATACCATTTGACCTAGCAACTGTACTCCTAAGGCTTTATTCTATAGATACATGTCTTGAACCATGACATAAACAAAGGATATTTGTTGTGGTAACAACAGACTGTGAACCCACTTCCTATCTAGAGGAAACTGATTAAAAGTGTGTGTGTATGTATAGTGAAATCCTATGTAAAAAGAATGTGGTAATCAGTCGGGCTAGGTGGCTCAGCCTGTAATCCCGTGCCTTTGGGAGGCTGAGGTGAATGGATTGCCTGAGCCGCGGGTTCAAGACCCGCCTGGGCAGGAGAGACCTCATCTCTACAATAAATCAAAAAAATTAGCCGGGCATGGTAGC